AAACAAAAGATATGAAAATGCCAAGAAAGTAAGAATAAAGTAAAATCGCAAGTTAAGAAGAGGTAAAAAATAAACCTAGAAATATGTATGTACAAGCGCATGCACATACCTATACTTTTACGTTGGCGAACGCAGGTACCAGCTTTTTATTTGATTTCAGATTATAAATGCACACTGTATGCATATGTACACATGTATGCATGTATGTAGATATGTAGTTATATGGAATGAATGTGCATCGGTTGCTAAAGTCAAGTAGCTACGCTTGAATGGCTCCTCACTTAGGTGCAGCAAAATTTATGCCAGCACATCTTTCCGAGCATTTCAAATTGAATTTTAACGCTTTACGCGCTACTTACCGATGAATTGGAGACGCTTTCAAAGCGCTAATCAGCCATGCAGTAACATTGCTTATTTTATACATATCTACATATATGAATATAGAATACATACATATATATAAAAATCGGCAAAACTCGACTATATTTCGCAAGACCTATGCATGTAAACATGTATGTATGTATGTACACAAGTAAAAACTAAAACTTTGGCGCGCACAATAAACTACAAGTCATGCACCTTGTCCCTCTATTACACCCACCCAAAAATTATGTGCACTACACCAAAATAAAACAATCGGAAATCAAAACAGAATGCGATTAGAAACAAACGCCATTCTACTTTCGATGACTTCGACGCCAGCGCCGACGACAACCGCTTTACGGCATGGTACACGCCGACGTTGTTGTCACCGCTGGCAGCGCTGCAGCTATTTTGGAAGTTTTGGATTGTTTTGATTTTGAAAATGCGGATACAATAGCACCAAACAGTACCAACCTAGTCAGATTCTTTCGCCTTTTTGTTTTGTGCCGCAACGAAGCGGGAGTGAGCGACAGAAAAGCAAAAGCGCCAACAAGACACACCAGCTAAACTGCTCTCTACGCGTCGAACGAGTGAAATAGAAAAACCGACAAAGAGCAGCGTAGCTATAGTATACTTGGGAGCAGTGCACTATATGTGTGCGCGAAGGAAATGACTAGCGATAAGCGCGCCATCCATATATGTATGCCTTTCCGTTTCCCTAATGTCAATACGGGTTTGCTGTCAAAGCATTGTGCTGTAGAAAAACGGATAAGTGAAATTTTTTCCTATGCGCCCATTTTTTTTCTTTGATGGTTCCTGATTACGGCGTACGTCTACGTATTGTACATACTAGTCCAACGGCGGAAGTCTATACAAATTTACTATATAGTCACTATATAGCATAGAATGCGCCGAGTTTTACATCTTACAGCTAACTCGTTGAAATATTATGCGCGCATCCGTTTCGATCGGAGTACGCGCGCAATCAGAATTTATTTGCCGAAGACACGCTAGTTAAATGAATAAATATATTTACATATATTAGCATGCACATATGCACATACATACATATAAGTATGTATGTATATAGATAAGTGGAGCGGAGCCGATTGGTTTTGCTGGCACCCGAAGGCGACCACTGGGAGCATGAAAGTGCGCAAAATGGACAATTTACTCGAATCAACTATAACGAGATTCAATGCCGTCAACTGAAGCATCTTGGAGGTAGTTTGGCGAGTATACAACCCCTCGTCAATATGCTACATACTTTACAAGAATGATAGAATACATTTTCTGCATCGTGCTACTTTTACCACTATGTTGTATGTATGTACATAAATATTCTTAACATCGCACAAGCACTTTTTAAATACGAAAACTTATTACGATAGAATTATTGTGCATACCTCCACCATCACTTTTGCAAACTGTTGTTGCACCACTGCCCTTTTTGCTTATTTATATTTTTTGTTTTTATAATTTTATTATTATGTCTGTATTTGCAATTTTCATTCACCCTCGCATTTATTTTTCTTTATTCACTTCAGTTCGTCGTGTCTATTCCGCT